GATAATCACACAGCGATGATGCAGTATTAACAACTAGATGACAAGGTTTTGAGCATAAATTATTACTCATAGTCATATCATTTATCCGCATGGTTTCATAATTTGTCTTGTACATATTTTCTCTCTTCCTCTCTATCCAACCTTCCTTTGTTGTTTGTCGCGACTTTCCATGTCTCCGGTACAGGCGTTGCGTTATTCCGACTGCACGCGTGCGGTGCTGAATCGATAAACAAAGCTTCAGTGATTAACCTCTCTGTCTCTCCACCTAGCTATATTACATTTTAATACTCCCACCCTGTTACACCCACCCTAATTTGTGATTACATGGAAGTGAATGCAGTGCAGTGGCTGAGCTCTTTTCTAGGTTATTTAACATATCAGTGACAATCATTTTAGGTTAAGCTAGTTTTTTATGTTCCAATAATCTAGTTGACCCCGTTCTACTGGTTTAATCTATGTAATTGAATTGACCTGATAGTCATTACATGGTATTCTATAAATTGTATTATTTTTCTTAATTGGATATATCTGGCATGTCCTTAAGCCGATGAGGTTTATCTCTGAGAGAGTTGGTTGGTTCGTTTGAATGCTGCCCTAGTTTCAACCTCATTGAGATTTCTACACAAGGCTTCTGACGTCCCTTTTTTATACGGCAGTGCTACAGTGGCTTTGAATTCTATATTATTTTCGTCACCCTTATTGCTAATCTTAGTTTTTCTATGGTTCTTCATGTATTTTTGAGTAAATTCTTGTGGGCAGTTATTCACTAGTAATGCTTCCTATATCTTATGGCCTACTAGTTAGCCTCCTGGCCCGATTATATCGACATTTAGCTGAACCTGTCTTTACTGATTGTGGATGGGATGAATTAATGTCTAAGTGCTTATTAGAGTGTGTTAGTTTCCTAAAAATACTAATACCTAACCCACCATCTTGCTTTCGTTTTATCTTATAGTCTAGCATTGGCAACTCACCTTGTTCTTTTTCGAACTTAGAAGTGAAATGGATTCCATCGCCAGCGTAATTTGTTCAGCATCTTATCAAGTAACTTAGTTATCATATTTGACCCATCAATTTTTACCGACACCTTGTGTTAGACAGACACACTGAATACCAAGTAGTTCAGCAGAGAAACTCTTTTCGACGAGCTAATTTCCCTCTTTAGGTGTACAATCTCATTTGTACGCAATTTTTTCTCATGAAAGAGGGTAGTAACAAGTAATAGCAACTAGTGTTCAGTTGTCACTAGCACAATTGTTAGTATTAGTCAATGCAAAAGAGGAGTTGAATAAGCGTATTAGGACTACACAACAACTTAGTGGATGATTTGTAGTCAGGATGTAGACGGGAACGAGAGAAAATACGGAATTATGTAATAGTTCCGTTGAGATACAAGAGTTAGAGAGAGAGAATTAGATAAACAAACAAACAAAACTGACTAACTGAAACCATATGCTATATATGCGAAAATATGGATTCAAAGGGGATAAGCTGTAAATGAACGTGAACATTGAACGTTGGTTCATTGTCCTTGGTCGCCATTGGCGGGCAACTCGAAGTTGCGAATGGTTCAATCGTGTACAAGTTGGAAGACGACGAAAGAATAAGAATAAAACTATAGTACATTCCTTGTAAAACCTTTGTTTATAGACTTTTGTGCCATAAAGATATTAAATGCTGAACAATACAAGCTTTTATTGATGCTTGTGCTTTTTTTGGAATAAAGTCGATAATCTTACCTAGTAATTATCGATTCGGTGCGTCTTCACAAATAATAGGAACTTAGGGTTAAGTTCCTTGACATAAGCATTGGTATACACATTGACTATTTGAAAGAACTCCTATTGAGATGTATGCTAAATGTCCAGTTCTCTTTAGATAATGAAATATATCGGCAGAAGATGGTGTAGCTTTGGCTTCACCACTGGGCCGATTGCTTACAGACTTTTTCATATAAAAACTAGAAAATACATATGTTAAGAAAATGATTGACAGCTTTGGGTTTTTATAAGAGATATGTGGATGACACTTTCATGATCTCCAGTAACGGGGGAAGCTGGAGGATATCCTGAACTTTTTCGACAGCTGCCATCCGACAATTCAGTTCCCATTGGAGGAGAAGTCTGACACAAAAATATATTTTCTGGATGATCAGTGAACAAGACGTGAACAAGATGGAACACTAAAAAGATCCATTTATAGAAAGCCGACATGGAACGGACAACTCACCAATTTTCACAGTTGGCTGCTTCTATATTGTAAGAAACGAAACCTGATCCGTTCACAGAGCTAACGAATCCTCAGAATTTGCAGCCCTGACATTATGGGACAAGAGCTGAACACTTTGAAAAGAATCCTCCTCAGAAATGGCTACCCAGAACTTTTCATTTCGAAACTCATGAAGCCTTAACCCCGCTAAAACTGCCCACACTATCTGCTCTCCGAAAACGTTTCTACTTGAATCTACAATTCAGCAGAGACTCATCATCAGAAATACTGGGGAACTGCCTGTCGCGATCATTGAAGAAAATCTTCTTTCGTGGTTGAACTTAGAATAACTTTCTCTACGAAACCAATGATTCTCATGAACGTGAAGGCTAATATTAACAACACTATAAGTGTGACAACTCATCACTTTTATTGTCACTTTCTTTCATGATAAAGTTGTACATCAATGCGACTGTACAATCAAAGGAAAAAATGAATGTGCCTAAGAGAACCTCTTCACTGAACAAACTGTTTTATTTTCGTGATGCTTGAAAGGAGATTATTCGTGAATTGAACACTGACTGCTATTCGGATGACAATTTGCACAAATAAATAAATAAATAAATCTTACAAGGGATGCTTTGAGAAGCAGAATAACCTGACGGTAATATATCTGTCTCTGATGCCAAATAAAATTGGCTCGAATTTCGGAGAGGACCGTTAAATGCTAGATCTAGTTTAGGCAGAGCTCTCCCCCAACCGACTTCCTTTAATATACAACAAACGCCAACAGTATGTCGCATTAAGTCTTACTAAACAATAGTTAGTTAGATCGACAAAGTTACAGGATCCTATCATGAATACCCCCCAGTGGATGACAAGCATAGAGTGACTTGTCATAAAGTGAATTACAGATAATTTGAAATCTATCTATCATCAGACCATATGAATACTTTGGAAAAATATATTTAACCATTATTGAAGTGTAACAGTAAGAGACGAGAGACATGATAACGGAGTGTCTATTGAGCGTTCGGTATCTCTATATAATAAAATTAAGTAGACCTTATCTTCAAAGCACCATTTGCACACATCTTCTGTGTTGTGCTATTTTTGACCTTCATATTGTGTTTCCATTTGTTTCTTTCACGTCTCCCATGTATCTCTACAACGCTGCATCATTTACTTTCTCTGACAACAAATCTATAGGCCTGCTGTTTGATGATTTTATGCCAATGACCGTCACCTTACATACTACTGATAAGTCTTATCAGTAGCACACGCCACAGCAGTACCAACAACCACTAGAAAACAAACAGATCTTCTGAATCCTACTGCTCTTCATTTTGAAGATGAAAGTTTATTTTAAGCAAATATTGTCAGTCTTAATTTGAACCTGTATAGAGATCACAGAGATGGTTCCCCTAAGCAATATCGCAAGGTTCTGGTCACCTTTAGCCAGGATTCCACTATAGATCATAGGAGAATTCTGTGTTTCCTATACCTGCGTTCTATCAGTGTAACATGTCACAGTATGGAGTAGAACTTGACCACTGTGGATAGTGTGGTAATCATTGTCAGTACGACTAACGTTTTGCATCTTCGAACTTTGGTATTTGGTCTTGGAGGTTACATAATCAGGCCTGGTGACATATTCAGTAATGACTTTATTAGTGCTAGGAAGAAACCTCAAACCATCTTCATCCTTATCACTGACTAACAAGTATTTCACGAGTAGCCTTCCCAACACTCTCGTTATTCCTCGGACAGCGAGGTAAAAGTGTATGTGTGGTGTGTGCTATTTACACTCAGGTTGATAGGAAGAGGCCAAAAATGAAGTCAATATTTCAAGTCAATGATTGCAGTGGTAAAAGTGTTTACTCCTCAAATCTGGAGTTAGTTTGCATTTTGGACATAAAACAACCTCATTGGGCAAATTTGTTTAACCTTGGGTCAATAGCCAACCAATCAGAACAGTTTATTGACTGCTGACCCTGCCAACCTGCAATATGGCTGAGAGCGTATAACTATGATGTGTTTTTCTTTAATAAAAAAGTCTGTTAACAACTTTCTTATCTTCTGATGTTACAAGACTATCTACCTAGGCGTTGTGCCAGATGCAGGATAAGAAGTTAAAACATTCAGTGACCATCAGTCCACAACCAACTATACTCTTCCCGTCATTATTCACTCCGATTATAACTGATACGGGAAGATATTCACACGACAGCTGAGCATTGCTTGCAGCGATTGGTGTGGGATAATAACCTTATTAGCAGCTGTACCTCCTAGTCTAGCTGATGCAGTGCCACACCAGTAATCTCTAGGCCACTATATCGAATCCCACCGCTAACCACGAGACAGAAGATAAAACGAAAACCACTTTAATGTGTGTTTTTTGTGACTAATTATTGGAATGTCATTGGATGAGATCATAGTATCAAATTACAAAAGAAGATAAAAACAAACAAACAAAAAATTAAATTAAGTTAATAAGTATACAGTTTTAAAAAAGGATTCAATGTGTTCAATAAATCACAAAAGGATAAATGAAAACAAGCAAAGGAAGGTACACAAGCACACATAGACGCAAGCACGCACGCACGCACCAAAGCATTGTATACTCTTTTTGAAGTTATATATATATTTTGGGATAATTATCTTTAATAGGCAAATATAATATAAGCTGGGGGGAAGAAAAGTGTCATTTTGTCTCCAAAATACGAAACTTCGTTGTTGTTGTTTTTTCTGGATAAAAGAGAAACAAGCGGTAATACTTAAATTTATTAGTACGTCTATTCATTTAACTCTGAATATTTAATAGTCTGTAGTGACTGACTGTTCATCCGCCTCTCCTTCCTCTGTCTTCCTCGACGACTCTGTCGTCGTTGTTATGCCTGCTGATGTCGATGTTGACGCTGTAAACCATGAATTAGTTTGATGACCGATTGTTGCGGATGTCTGATTCATTATTGGAAAGCATGATCCAATCATTAGATTTGATGTATCCATTAAAGAGTTGATTGATCTACCCGCGTAATTTGAATTTAAATTATTATTATTATTGCTATTATGATCAATCGATGCGAATGATGAAGATGAAGGCGATGAAGAAGATGGCGAGGAAGTTGTTAGGCTTGAATTAACTGGATTTGTTAATATCGATCTATTAGCCTCATTATTATCACTATTATTATTATTATTATTACCAGTACTATTGTTATGAGATGTTTGATTCATGTTTGTGGTAACGGGGGTAAACACACTGGATACACTTAAACTATTGCTAGGACTACTAGTATGATGAATGCTTTCATTGTTCAACTTGTGTTTTCTTATTACCTCATCTGAGATATACTCATCGTTCACAGGAAATTGTTGTTCCTGTGATAAATTTAAACTTTTTCTCAGCAATGCTTTATGTTGTATATCATTGAATGTAGATAAATGCGTTAATTTTTGTTGATCAAATTGTAATGAATGTTCGTCTTGGTGTTGATTATGTTGGTGATGCTGATGATGCTGATGTGTATCCTGTTCTTGATGTTGTTGTGAAGGTCGATGAAGATTTGGCGGTGAATTGAAATCGTTGTGTGAATATCGATTTCCTATCGTCGTCGTTGTCGACATCATCATATTAAGTCTATTGTTTATACTGTCATCGTCACCATGACTACCACCACCACCACCACCACCACTACCGACAGCGACGGTGTCATTATCTAGATCAGGTAGACAGTTGTTCAAAGCCGATGGTACACTATGACTTGTGCTTGTATTATGATTGACTGGTGAGATTAAACAACACGCTGCCGCTGCAGCCATTCTAGCTGAATGCAGCACCTCTTGTGTGTATAGACCATTTGAGAAGGAATATGGCATACCAGTCGGTTTATTCGACACGAAATTGCCATAGTCAAAGGAATCGAGAGAATAGTCTGACCTGAGGCTACTACCATTATTATTATTATTAGCCCCGCTGGCATTAGAGGCGGTTGTAACACTGTGCTGTTGTTGTTGTTGGTGTTGTTCATGATGGTGATGACTTGATCGGAAATCAATAGGAGCAGTGCCTAGTCTTGGATTATACGGTGGTGAGGAACACGAATAAGGCATATTAAAGTAGCTTGATGGATTTGTTGGATAGGGGAATAAATCTGAAGGTGCAGGATTGATTGCATTATTGATTAATGAACGAGTATTGAAGGATGAACCGAAATCATTTCTTTCACTATTAGTACTAGTACCACTATTATTACTATTACTGATATTATTAGTTCCGGTGGTATTATTGCCACTGATATTATTATTATTACTATTACTGCCGGCACTGTTAGCAGTAATATCCAGATGAGGTGAGGTTTGAGACAGTTGTGTAGACATTAACAGATTAGAGTAGTGTGTTCCAGCGTTTGAAGTTAACGGATAATTTAAATTAGCCTGTGATGGTGAATTCATGATACCCAGGCCATGACAAACACTTGGTAGTAATAATGACGATAACATTTGTGAATTGGCATTCATTGTCTCAGAGCCGGAGGAATTCCCGCATGTTGGCGGTTGCATAGCTTGGGCTAGGCCGGTAAAATCAAATTTATAAGCGTAACGTTTTCCATTTATCTAAAAGAAATTAAGAGAAATATACAAAATTCAAAGGATTCACGTTTCAAGTTAGAATTGATCACAATCTGACATCAGTTAAAGGATCATTAGAATCCAAGGAGTACAGGACAAGCGTTTCTTCCTATTTCCGGACTCCTCATAAGTGTGCATATACACCTCCATTGGGGATCAAACCAAGGACCTTCCGATTAATGAGGCGAGCCCACTAACTATTCAGCCAGTAGGACAGTAATCTAATTTATATCGATTCTTCATAAAATCTAATTACAACAACCTCTCAGGTATCGATTTTTAGGGATTTGATTACCTACAAGTTAAACCACGAACAGACTTCAGTTAGAGAACCATTGAAAACCAGGATGATGTTGCCTGCAGTTCTAGTGAGAGGTCTTGACCAGTGGGCTTCACCAAGTTGGGTATGAGAACAAATACTCACCAACCGATGATATCGGCTGGCGATTGCACCACATATCGTGAATCACCTGAAGTTAGAGCTCATGGGCTAATGGCTTTCGTCTTGGTAGCTGGGTGGATGGCTTCGTAACCTGAAGGTCCTGGGTTCGATCCCTAGTCGAGCCGTTGGGGCATACTGATGAAGAGTCCCAAACAAGAGCGAAACAGCTACCCAGTACTCCATAGGTTTTTAATGATTCTCTGCTGATTTCGGTTCTTGAAAAGAATCATTATCAGTTGTTAAGTTTGCGACAGCACACACATATACACATACTATCCATTTGCTGAACAGTATTGAGTTAAATGCGCTGTCTAGTCTCAAATGGTGACTAGCTGTTTATGCAGCAAGCCTGCTGGTAAGGTCACCCGACATTGTTTTAGACTGTTGGAAAATATCTAGAGTGTTTTCCTTTGTCAACGAAAACATCTCTGGAGTAGACATGATATCCGGCTATCGACAAAAGGGTGGGTGTACTGCTCAGCAGTTCACTCCGTCCTCCTCTCTGGCTGTTAGACCTAGCCGTTGGAAGTGGAAAACATGATAAGGCAGGCTATCTCTCTTTGATCATAGGTATCTGCGTTCTATCTCCCATCTTAAGTGGTATAATAAGGTGAGCAATATTGGGGTTAGGCATCGGTCGAGTGCTAGTTAAAGAGGGGAAATCAATAGATGAGGATGTAAAGTTATACCGATTGAGATAGTTAGGACATATGTTGCGTATGCATCCCTAGCCGTCGCCTTCCTTGAGAGTGGGCAATTTTAGCTGGCTGGAAAAGAGGCAGTGGTGGTCAAACCAAAATATCGCGTCATCAGTCAATGAAATCCACGACAGTTAGTTTAGGTCACGTAGGAAGATGTAGACTTTCTGGTTGGAGTCCTCGAGACGGTAAACACCAATGAAGACTGGAGACAAGTGGTGATATGGATGGAAATAGTTCTCAATGGTGCATATGCATCCACTCCTTGTGACTTATAATACCCAATAAAACTATATGGTTCTTCGATATTACTATTCTTTTTGCCTCATATCTCTGTTTACTGTCTCTATTTTTGCATTTCTTGTTACTTTCTTCTCTTGCTTTGTGTGCTAAGTGAAGTGTGGCGACTGGAACTGCTGCACATCGGTGCAAAGTTCTCTGCTGAAACCAGTCAGTAAGGTGATCATTATTTTTTAACAGTGAGACCACTGATTATAACATTAGTTCTCTGGGAAGTGAATCCCTAAAAGGATTTTATTTCCATATAGTTTAGCAAACCACCTTAATGACCGCTACCAATGAACACAATAAGAAACCAGGGATTTAATTTTCTGCTGGTTGTTATTACAATCTAGATTCCATGACCTTTCTTTCATAGTGTTTCATTGGTACTTTTGGAAACCAGTGTGCAATCTAGTCACCAGTTTTACTGCAATTTTAGTTTTTCAGGACGTCAACCTCTTCTGTGTTTTATAAAAATGGAAGTCTTTCAAAATATGGATAAGCATATTATGGATCAGGCGTTAATTCATCTTTGTCTCATTCTTGATATTTTAGAAAATCAACATGCAACAGCCAACAAATTCAGTGGTATGTGTGTGTGCGAGCACTTAATCCTCCTACTGATGTGTGGGACCCCACTGGTTACCACTTTTCACTAGAATTCGAGGTAACTTCCTGCATACAGCCAGCTATTAGTGAGCATCAAATTATTTATAACCTGTTGGTTTGAGTGATTTTTGTTTGGTTACAAGTTTGACCACGAGGTGAAATGATTCACAGAACCATTGGAAAACCAAGGAGTACTAGACAACTATTTTGTTCTAGTTTGTGACTCCTCAGTGGTACACACTCACCACCAAGGTTCGAACCCAGGGCCTTGAGGTTATGAGGTGAGCTCATAGACCATTCGGCAGCTGGGACGCGATCCAAAGGCTCATGAATTCTTCCATTTCTCGATTTATGAAACAACCGCAACTGATTTCATCTCGTCATCAAACCTGTAACTAATCAAAATCCATGCAAACCAATACCTGATAATTAATCTGATACCCACTAGCAACTGGCTGTTTATAGGAAGTTGTGCCCAGCAGGTAAAAGAACAGTTACTCGCCATGACATTGGCCGGTGGTTGCGCTGTATGTACGGAGAATTCACAGAAGATGGGATTCAAGGACCTTTGGATTGGGTCTCAGTCGCTAAGTGGTCTACAAGCTTCTGTCGTAGCCAGCGGGTCCTTATTTCGAAGTCCAGTGGGTGAGTGCTGATGAAGAGTCTAGAGGCTGATCGATACAGCTGTCCAGTATTCCCTGGTTTCCCTGGTTTTGGATGACAATTACGTATTTTAAGGGAAAAGTTGACGAAATGGTCCACTGTATTGTGACATTATGGCTAACTAGTAACTTAATTTTTATGACACATGAATGCACTGACTTCAATTCTATAAGGGATCGTAGTTGCTGAAGCTCTAGTATCATGTCAAACTAGGGCATAAAACCTGTCAAGTGTTTCGTCGTTTTTTGGATGACTTTTATCTTCGGTAGGAGTACTTCTCAGTATACAAATTCTTCTTAAAACTCTCCAAAGGGTAATTGTGATGCAGATAATGATAAGCGGCAGTTGGAATGGTGACTCAGAGTGTGGAATATACTTTCATAAGTGGCTTACAATGTTTACTGATGTCCGTGTCGTCACTGACATTCCAACAGAACAAAAATAATCATACCGGGACGGCGGATGTTTTGGGCATTGTTGTATTCTCTGACCTGGATGTTTAACTGCTAAGCTTTCTGTGTCCTTGCTGATAATATCTTCAGTGTAGACTTCAATAGAAAGGGACCTTTAGGGTATTTTCCATGGGTCAAAGAGAGGATTCATAACAATATAAGTAAATTCAATTGTGAAATACTCCGAGGAAGACCGATCACAGTCATGGTCATCAGAAAGGATGGGTATTCCATCCGTGGAGGATTTCCAAAGCCCACCTGACAATGAAGTTAGCACCGAAGATGTTGTCTAGTAGAACAATGAAAGCTAACCACCAGTTAAATCATCCAGCCCAAAGATCACAATAACAATCTCAGCAACAACAAAAAACAACAAACAACATTTGAACTTACCTTACTCATAATATTCTTATCATAATAATAACGTAATGCACGACTAAGTTTATCATAATTCATATTTGGTTTTGATTTACGTTCACCCCAACGTCTAGCCACTTCATCTGGATCGACTAGTTTAAATTCACCATTAGTACCCTCCCATGTAATACAGGCTAGATTTTTCGAATCTGATAATAATTCCAATAAAAACTGCCATAATTGTATTTGTCCAGAGCCTGTTTTGATTTTGATTTTATAGACAGTGTGGATATTGTTGGTAAGGCGTAAGGGAAAGAAGAAAAGGAAAGGAAACGAATTATATCTCAAATGTTAGGTTTTAATAGAGGTTGACTTGTCTCCGAAATAGATTTACTTTGAGCAACCTGCGATCAGTTAAATAACCATTAAGTATCAGGAAGTATTGTTTCGTCCTAGTCCTCACCTCATTAGCGGTACTATCCGACGGCGGTCGAACTCAAGACCATCATATTGTGACTTAACTGTGACACCATTTGGCCTTTCGGTGAAAAATACAATCAGCCGTTAATTCGAACTTCTTTCAATTAGTGCTATAGCTATGCTGCAGTCCAGTGTCATGAGTGAGTAACTGTCTTCACAGGGGACTGAGTATACGCCACAGATTGCAATTCTTAGTCGAATTTCTGGAAATCTATCCAGATATTAGACTTGTTTGACTTCAAATTGGTTAACTTCACCAGCGGTAATGCACTCAGTTCTAAAACTGGTGATCCTGAGTTCAGTCGCTGGTAGGGTAAAGAGTGAGCATTTTTAAACAGCCCCTAGTCAGAACAAAGCAACTGTTGATTCACTCCGCTGTCTTCAAGTATCACCAGCGACTATCTGTCCTAGCATCTGGCTTGATGGGACCTCACCAGCCCCAAATTCTCATCAGAACTCTTGGAAATTCATCTCATATTCGGTCAGTTATGAGTAGCTAACTAATTATAACGTGTTGGATGAAAATGGGGCTGCATTTCAAACTAACGGAAGTTAGGGTTCAAAAGCCGTTGGATCTCGACCTTTTGAGTGGAGGGTGTAGTGTTTACGTCCTTGCACGAAGGTCACAAGTTCAGTCTCGCCGACCATGCACATGGTCCGGGGTTCGATCCCCTGCCGGCGCACACCCGATATCTATGGTCGGCCTGAATTTGGGCTACCGATATCCATGCTGAAAATTCCACACTTGTACTGAAAATACGGTGTGGAATCAAGCTGTAAATCAAAATAAAAATAAATAAATACTGAATGTGTACCACTGATGAGTCCAGCACTCGGAAGAAACACATATCCAATGCTCCTTGACTCTCACTGATTCTCAAATTAGTATCACTTAGTGATAAAATTTACCTAGAGGTTAATCAAATACCTACAAATCAACACTTGAAGTTTGTCACAAAATTTCTGTTTTATCCCGGAGAACGTTTTCATCCTTTCTCTATCTCTCAAGCTATTTTGTTTTCTTCTAGTTTCAGTATTCTAAGTCATTCGTTTACTAACTTAGCTTTTTCAAGAGTTGATTTGTAAGGATTAGCTTAGTTTTTTGAGTTTGACCACGGATTGATATCAGTTAGAGAACCATTGAAAACCAGAACTGGAGTACTGGACAGCTGTTTAATCCTAGTTTTGGGAATCTTTGGCAGTACGCACCAGCTAAAGTACATCTAGTCAAGTGTGAGGACAGATTTCCCGCAGATGACATTAGTTGATGGTCGCCCTAAATCACGCACGAATTGGTAGAAGTTAGAATTCATGGACTGGCCAATGAATCGTGACCCAGTGGCTGAATGGTATACGAGACAGCTTGCGTTGTAACCGCACTTACACTTCAGCTACCTTGTCGTCCTAATGTTTTACCTCACCAAAATTATGTTAACATTTTACTCTGACTTTTAAAGATTATAGCTTGTATGCAGCTGATGAGAACCAATGAAATAAAATGGATCCATGTTATTCTACACCCGCGTTTGTTCTTTGTTCGCTCAAATTTATAAAAGGGAATTCTTGTATGAAGTACCCTAAATTAGAAAGATTTTAATGTCACACTCATTATTATTATTGTTTCCTTTAATTCCTAGAGGAACAGAGGGCTTCAGCCGTGCGTCTCCATTGCGTTCTGTTCTCTGCTAGAGTCTTCACCTGGCTCCAAGTCTGCCCACACGTTTTCATCTCCTCTTCACATGACCTCCTCCAAGTCACCCTTGCACTGACGACCAACTCGCCGCTTCCCTTTCGGGTTCCACTCGAGCAATGGCTTGTCTAGTAATGTCACTTGATGGTTTGTTTCCTCAGAGTATGGCCAGCCAATCCATCTCCATTTCTTTCTGCCTATTTGTTTCACAATCGGTTCCTGGTTGGTTCGCTCATTGCCAGAGACTCCCTGTTGCTGATCTTTTCTGGCCATCCATCTGATCTTGAGTATTGAGCAAAGACAACTGTTAATGAAGGTCTGTAGTTTGTTTGAGATGCTCTTTATGACGCGCAGTGCAAGTCTCTGATCCGTATAGTAGCACTGACTTCACATTGGAGTTGAAAATCCGGATCTTATTTTCATTTTCGTGCTGAGTGCTGTTGACCTCCACACAGACTTGAGAGTAGTGAAAGCTTGTCTTGCTTTTCCGATTCTTGCTTTGATATCCTCGTCAGTTCCGCCTGTAGTTGAAACGATGCTTCCCAGGTAGGTAAAAGAGGTTGGTTGTTTCTTTCAGGTTCCTCCCATTTATGCTGATCGTTATCTGTTGTTGTTGTTCTTGTCCAGGAATCTTCATCACCTCTGTTTTCTCTATGTTCACCTGAAGTCCTATCTTCTCTGGATGCTTCTTCTATCGCCAACTTGTTTCTTTTCGCTTGCATATCTTCCAGTTTGTGGGAAATCAGACATATATCATCGGCGAAGTCCAAATCCTCCAAGATTTTTGTGTGAGTCCATTTTATGCCTGTTTCCCCATTGCCCGCTGTTTGTCGCATTATCCAGTCTACTGCAATCAGGAAAATCATTGACAGCCTTGTCTTACTCTTGTCCTCACTTCGAAGGATTCCGTAAGTTTCCCGTTGTGGATTACTTGGCATGCAGCATTGTCGTACAGCTGTTGGATGAGATGTATAATTGTCACACTCAAAACCTGATTAATTCCATCCACTGATGAACGTTTTAACTACACCGAAGCTTGTCACAGAAATCTTCTAATCTAGGCGATTGATCACCAACCGAGAGGCGACTGTTTACCTTATTCTGTTACTATCGTGAAGAAGAAATGAGCTGAAACTGTTCGATTAAAAATGTAAACAAAACTATTTTATTCAATGATTAACTCTGCCTCCTCTCTTTCCCACCACCATTATTTTCAGCACAGTGTTATTCACATTCGTTACATCATTAACTAATTCGACATTTTGGTTTTTCTCTATGGTTGTAAAAGAATAAATAATAAAAAAACAGAAATCTCTGCTTTTCCAATGTTTTTGGTGTATATTCCAAATTCCAAATTGCTACATTACTTCTGATATACTCAGTTAACTTGTTTTAAAAACAATAGTAATAGAGAATATTCTAGAATAGGGGATATAAACGCATCAGTACTCACGGATGTATATTTCCCTACTCAACCACCCAAACACACAGACAACACACTTGTAGCCACACCATAACATTCATTATTTTGACTAACATTTTTCAGAGAATACGGGCAAAAAGTTCATTACCAGTACGAATATAAGGGGGAAAAAACAAAATCTCTAAATATTTTTTTTTATAGAAAAATAAGTGAAAAATAGAAACTGTATTGAGAAAGAAACAGAATGCCTCCTTCACTATGACTTCCGCCAGTTGTTCCTCTGCGTGCATGTGTGTACGTGTGTGTTATTGACCCTTACCTTTGAATCTATGGCAGTATAGAAAATTCACCTTGTTACTTGCTCTACAGGTACATAATAGTTTTATTGGATACTATCAGTATGATACACAACAATATGAATAAATATAACCCGTATTTTAAAAAAAAATTCTTTTTGATACGCATAAAGTAGGAAAGTGACAATAAGATTTATGCTTTTCATAGAACATTTATCAGCATTTCTGATGGTTTCATCATTTATGCCGCCAAAAAAAGATGTGATTTTCTATAATTAAAGTGGAAATTTATGCTACAATGATCAAAAATTACTTCTAGTAAGTGATTAGTATTCATACATCAACTTGTAGACGTGTAAGCAAACATAACCTTGATGGCTACTAATTAATATCTGTGACTGGGGTTTGTAGGCTTTCTCACTGACTAACTTAGTCCCATGGTAGAATTTAGTATGGAGAATGAAAATGATGGAAAGTTTTATTTGCTTGACATGGCCATGAAGCACCTGGAAGTTGGTAGTTTCCAGAGGCGAATTTACCGAAAGCCGAAATGGAATGAACAATGCTTACATTCAAATAGTTTTTGACCAAAGAGCTATAAACGAGCTCTAGTAAAAACTCTGTTCTATAGAGTCAGGAGAATTTGCTCCACGGAGAAATTCGAAGAAAGAAATTCTGGCTTTCGAAAAGATGTTAAAACACATCGGTTACCCTTAGAGACTCATTAACAAGTTTGGAAGATGTGAAGGCTCAAATATCAAATAAATCACAGTGAGAAGATTGGGTACGTCACTAGCCAGAACCTATCATGCAGTTAGGTTGGTTCCCAGTTATCGAACGACATGCTTGTTTGCGCAGTCGAAAGTCAACATATACCCTTCTCATGTTAACTCTAACTGTGTATACAAATTTATATACATATATCTGCGGGAGCAGTTACATTGGGAGAGCAGAAAGAAGGACGAACCTCCAACTTTCTCAACATGTACCAAAACGTCTACGTCTCGAGGGTAGAAAAGCTTTAAATAGTGCCATCGCCAGACATTTCATCAATACGGGCCATGGGATAGATATCTCAAGATCCTTCAAAATTATTAATAGAGAAAATGGCTCAATTCTACTCAGGTTTTCGGAAGCAATCTTTATCAAACGCTTGGAACCTGATTTCTGCGTTCAGAAAGAGGCACTTATCAGTCTTTCCTTGGTCATTCTGGTAACTGGATGCCTTTATTCTCTCCTTCATTTGATTGCGTAATCTTTGGCTCCAACCTCTTGTCTTTAACTCCTTTACTAGTGTGTGTGTTTACGTTGATTTTTTGTTTAAACGTGAACTCTCTGTCAACTAACATCATATGAAATTTACAAGTATATTAAAATCGCTTCTGTACATAAACTTAATAATTTCTGTAGGCTGTAAGCAGCTGATGAGAAGCCAACGAAATAAACAATGATGGTACCACTTTACTCTGCATAAACCACTGTTGTTCTTGCTTTATTCATATGCCTAAAGGGGGATAAATATATGAAAATACTGTCTTTATCTTCATTCTGTGTTTATTTAACTGAAATTGACTTTTTAATCTGTTGAAAGTATTTTGCTGCCATTGCTACACTCAGACAACCACACCTTTTCTAATTGCAGTTTATGAGACTCGTGCAGAAATACCCAGCTTTATTGAAATCTAGTAAGTTATTTGTAAATTTCATGAGTCCAGCAGGTGATAGCTTATTTCTTTTGTTTTTTTCAGGTTAAATTATGCATATCCTGTTGACTGATTATTTTGGACCGAAATATTTGGCTGTGTTAACTATCTCAGTTCCTAGTACGGACGCTTCTACAATCTCTGAGGATTAATGTAAAATAATTCTAGTTGGTGGTGAAGCAAGTATTGGAATCCAGGATGTGAGTTTCGTCCTATTTGTAACTCATCATCCGGATAATAATGTTATGCCTGTCGTACTAGAGGTGACTCTAGTGACCTAGTGGATAACACCTCAGAGTTTGAAACAATGAGTTCAGTATTCAAGCCTCTGTGGGAATATAATCATTCACTGGGAATGCGCAGGTATATCCAGCTAAAGACTGCCAAATAGGACGAATGGTGAATCGTGGATTCCACTGCTAGTCATCGCCAACCGAAATAACTTGAAAGTATATATTTTGTTGGAGTTACTTCTGTTGCATAAAATATTTGTTTTTATGAATTGATTGTTGGTTGGCATGGTAATATATTACATCTTCATCTGATATTCTCCAATTTATATATTTTGTAAAGAGACTATTACGACTACCGCTAATAAGTGGACTAGTGATGTAAAGAAGAGAATTTCTGTGATGTGTGTAGATTAACTCCGAATGATATAATTATTCACCAGGAGACTGGAAGACATTCATCAACACGTTTTTCAGTCCAATTTAATTCAAAATCTTGATTAACATTAGAGTGGACAACCAGCATGACGGTGATATTGATGATATCTGTTTCCAATAGTGCAAATGCTATGTTGAATTCCAAGTCCGCGTCCAACGCATCTGCAGCTCTGATACCTTGGAAGAAGAACTACACTTCCTGGAAGAAATCTTCATCCAGAAAGGTTATCCACCAAGATTCATGGACAAAAACATCAAACAGAAAATCCAAAAGCAAGAGACGTCATCCGTGCCAAAGATGATACTTTATATGAATCTCGACTTCAAAGGTGACCTACTCAGGGATGTCCTTAGGAGGAGAATTTCCACTTCTGTAAGAAGAACTTTCTTTGCGGCAACACTGAGAATAGTGTTCTCTAGTCGCCCGCAGATCTGCGAAGGACAAGATCCCACACCTGACTACTTCTATGTGTATATATCAGTTCACCTGTTGCTGCGGAGCCAGGCACATCAGTCGTTCGACGCACATCCTGTCATAAGGGGTCAAAGAACACTATCCAGCGTGGCTGCAGAAAGGAAGTAGTGGCCGTATAGGGAGTGCAATAATCGAACATCTCGTCACCACTGCTCATTCCATTACAACAAACGCTTCCTTCAAGGCAATCTACAAAATGAGGGACAAACTGCCAACGACAATACGTTTCTGTCTTCTTTGAATTGCAGAAGTCCTAGCCATTCAGTTATAAGTACCAGAACTATGCAAACAAAAGAAAATTATTCAACCATTTCTACTATCATGGTAACAACTCTGTTGATTTGACTTAGCTTTTTCTTGTATGCTTATTTTTCTAACTAGTTAAAACTCTTGCGTAATTCCGTATGTTGTTTTGTTTCCATGTACACCCTGAGTACAACTCTTTCATCAAACTATTCATGTCATTACTTATCTCTTCTTTAACAACCGTTTAAGACAACTCATCACTTTTGTTGCTATCCTCTTATGATAACATCCAATTCGTCTGAACTTACTAACTGTATTTTCATTTGGCAAATTTAATGTACACACACGCAAAACAACCATATATATTTGCGATTGTACAGCTATGAAAATGAATTCCCCGCCGAAAAGGGACTCTTCGCTGAACTACTACTGGTCTTCTGTCTATTAATGTTCGAAAGTGGGGATTTTTCATGAATTCTAAGTAGTTAATAGAGATTTTGTATATGGACATTAACTCTCAAACTCATCAGTATGCTAACAAGGCTCATTATTTTATCGATCGCATATACACAGTTTGCCGTTAATTAATTAGATATGAGATGAACTACATCCTAGAATTTACAGTATTATATATATATATATATATATATATATATAAAATATAGTAATCAGTGCCTATCTTTAAAACTAAAGTGAATTATACCACATTCTTCCCCTTAGATCTATTTACAAATATCGTTTGACTTATAGAGTGTCAAGGTCTACGCTGAACAAGCTGGATTCAGGAAAAGCAAATTGCAGCTCTATGCATTCTTGCTGAACAGTCAAATCTCCAACTCAACCTGATCGACACTAAAAAGGTATTCGACAAAGTTGACAGCGAAGTAATGTAGAAACTGCTTCAACACTATGGAGTACTCCAAATCTTTATCAACCTCATTCAGCAGCTACATGACAATGCTACATATCAGGTGGTCCACAGCGAAGAAGTCAACGAAGGGTCTGAAGTGAACAACACAGGAGTAAGACAAAGCTGACAACCATCACTTACAATGATATTCATAATTCTGGTGTACTGGATTATGCGGAATGCTGTGAGTGGGTGGCGAGAAGACAAGACTACATTGGACAGATAAGAGGGTTCTAGAAGATCTGGATTTCGCACGTGGATGATTTATGTTTAATATCACACAAACTCGAAGATTTACAGGCGAAAACCAACGAACTGGGAGAAGAAGAAGAAGCCTATGAAGACGGGACTTCAAGTGCACATAGAGAAGATGGAGGTGAAGAAAATAAACAACCAACCAACCAACGAACAACAACAAAAACAACCAATCACTATTAATGGGAGGGAGTCACTTCCTTCACTTATCCAGGAACGGAACGGATTAAGATATCAAAGACAGCTAGAATCAGAAAGGCAAGGTACACTTCCATCAATATGAAATCAGTTTAAAAATTTTCTGCACATTGTTCAACATCAACAATAAGAAAATTGGGATTTTCAACACCAATGTCAAGCCAGTCAGTCCTTCTAAATGCGTCACAAACTTGGCCAGCAAGTTACAAAACGCATTTCCAACAGGCTATTTCAGACTTTTATCAACTGTTGCCCACTTCGCTCAGTGCTGAAGATCAGATGGCTGGTCAGAAAAAGGTTAACAACATGGAGTTCTGGCAAGGACCTATTCCTCTCAAAGAATAGACCGAAGGAAGTGGAAATGGATTGGACACATGCTGAAGAGGGAATAATAATGATATACAATACTTATAAACAAATATAAGTAGTATCCTGAGTGATGAATTGGCAGAAGTAGTTATAATTTGTGAGATCATAGAAAAAGCTATTGAAGAGCTAGCTGGAGAAAAAGTTAACAGCACTGAGAAACAATCCGGTAAAAGATAAACGAAGACTGTGATCTCAGTGTAAGTTGTATGGTTTTGTTAATGTACATCGAATTTTCTCCTAACCAACATCATTTCTGCCCTCATCCATCTTGTTCATTTACAGGTAACTGACACCACTTAGTACTGTCGACTTTCGGACTACTACAATGACCACTACAATGTGGTTCAGTAGACAGGTCTTCATAACAATAGGTCACAACATTTACATCGTGTTCTCTTAAATTAGATGCAAAAATAATTTGGAGAAATTATTATTAATAATAAGGCAATATAATCTATAAATGATTACTTACACTGTGGTCTCCATTGATTTGTCGGTAGTGAAGAATTCGCATGTTTTGTATAAAACGACAAATTTGTATAATCGTAATCAGTCATGTGCCCCGGAAGACTGATTTCATTGTCCACTGGTGTTTTCATAAATTTCGGACCATATTTTGCAATTAATTCACTATCATGATTAGTATTCATATGACTACTGTTGTTATTTGCCAACCTCATATTCCCCTTCGACAGATCATTCTCATTATGCTGTAGTAGTTCAGTGAAGTGTGATTTACCTAAATGATGCGATATATCCAAACTATTCGAAGTAGTATTTCCATACGGTGTAAAAATACTACTTAATTCAAAATTGTTTTTGAAAATGTCACCTTTCTGAGAAATTGTGCTCGGTGAGGTTTGATTAATGGATAGTGGAAAGCTGGAATTAGAATTAGGACCAGTTATACTCTTATTATCATGTATGCTAGTAATGCTACTACCATTATTGTTAATGTTGCTATTGGCGCTATTATTATTGGATGCATTCAAGGAAGAACGTTTTCGTTTCGTTAACGAGTGCAATTCTTTGTTATCACTCAACTGCTGATGTTGACTATTCGATGAACGTGATTTATATACTTGATCATAATCATTATTTGAAGTGTACACTCTATGTGGCCGATGTGATGATCTATTGTTCCCATGATTACTTCGATTTTCACCTCTGTAACTTCCAGTCACTCGATCGTATACTCCTGACGAAGTTGATGTTTTGATGTCATCATTTGATTTCATTGTTGTATGTGATGAGTAGACATTTGTATTGGTCAGGTTAATTGGTGGTAAACGGAAACCGTGTGATTCTTCAGTAGTTTCTTCACCATGATTATTATTACTATTAGTAGTAGTATTAGTACTGTTGTGTTTATTTATACATTCATTCTGAGACATTTTGTAGGCTTGATGCTCATTGAACAGTCCACTGGGTAGAAAATCTTCAAATTTTTGCGGCTGTTGTAGGTGCTGTTGTTGTTGTTGACTCCTGTGTAAAGATAAGAAGCCTTTCGAGTACTTTTTCGGCGACGACATACCCATGAATGAAGACATTGATGAAGAGATTTCATCACATTTCGATGTAGTTTTCAATCCGCCTGTCGTTGCATTAGTAGTAGTAGTAGTAGTAGCAGGCATTGAAAGACGTTGAGACCTACTACCTAACTCTGAGGTTGTCATTACTCCAGAATTCTCCAATGACGACAATGAAGATATCGATGTTAAAGGAGATGATGATGATGATAATAATAAATCTGTTGATGAAGATATCGATTTTGATAATGTTACTGGATAATTCATTGAATGGTTCATATTCATCCAAGTCCATGGATCTAAGTGTTGGAATGACTTCGATATGTCTGATCCGTGAACGCTATTGTTACCGCTACCGATATTAGGATTATTGTTATTAGTTGAAGTAGTACTGTTCATATGATGTGATAGAAGCATATCTTTATAGGATGGATTAATGTCTGTCAGTCGTTCAGTAGCCGCTGGATTCGGTAAAATACTATGATGAAACATGCTATTTGATGAAGCCTCTGTAGTCAGTGGTAATTGTGAATCAGATGTCAGAGTTGAATGTGTTTCACTCTGCATTGCAGCAATACATGAAGGTATATAGAATGCATCTGTCTGATGACTACTGTTTATACTACTACTACTGTTATTATTGTTGTTGTTAGTAGTAGTATTATACTGACCAACATGATTCGATGAAAACGGGAGTAATCCGTAATTCATAAATTCATGCAATGCATTTGTGTCTGGTTGTAATGACTGAAGTTGTTGCTGTTGAGATTCTTGTGAATGTTGGTGTTGATGATGTGGAGCAGGAGGAGGAAGAGGATGAGAAATAGAAGGAAGTGGTCCCGGTGATGGAGAAGAAGACTGGAGTTGATGACTGTGCAGACTACTGCTGCCTACAGAACGAGGCTTTTCATATAGATCTGTTGTACCACTACTGAAAGGAAACATCATAGGCCAATTTGTAGATTGTCTTGTATAGAATAATTGTGCATCTGAAATGTTCATTTCGTAGAGTTTATCTATTAAAATCAAAATTAGTATATAAAGTTGTAGTTAGCATAAATCAGTACACCATTTAAAAAAAGTGGATATTAAATTAAATGGTTTTGATTGGTTGGAGGATTTCATCATGAACTGATATCACTTAGAGAACAATTGGAAAACCTGCCAGGGAGTACTGGACAGGTGTTTCATCCTAGTCTGTGACTCTTCATCAGTAGGCACCCACCATCACGGTTCGAATCCAGGACCTTCTAGTTGCCACTGGGACCCAATGGGTGCGTACTGATGAGAAGTTCCAAACTAGGACGAAACACCTGACCAGTACTCCCTGACAGGTTTTCCAATGGTTCTCCAACTGATGTCAGCTCATGATGAAATCCTCCAAACAATCAAACAAAATTCCTACAAAAAAAACCAGTAATTGAAAATTAAATGGTTTTATTGGAAATGGATGACAGAATCTCTAACCAAATGACATCATATTAACTGTTAAACTGAATCGTATACTACATCTTAATCTGTCATGTTGAAGTAAACTGATGCAGCCTTATGTACCTTATGTTATACGTTTTGCCAAAAAGTGCTTAACTACAATTATACTCAAGTTGAAATAAAAAGTATGGGTGCCTGTGAATGAACATGAATAGTAGCCGTACTGTACTAAGTAGTAGGAGGCCTGTTTGAAACCTGGGCTACTAAAATACTGCTTCACTACATATTACAGATCATTTTCTTGTTCATTTTGTTTTAATCTACTAAAATATGACCCTTAATGGTGTTTTCTAATCTCGCGAGTATTTAAAATGTCTACAAATTGCTGATTCGCAAGTTTCTACTAAATGTGAGAAAAAGTAGAATCATGGGTGGTAATGAATCTCAGTGTATGAGTTAAATGTCCCTGAGATATTTAGTACAAACTCCCACTGTTTGAGAAATAAAACTAATTACCCGTAGTGTTCAATTATTCAGCTATTATTATGTCGTTGGGGCAGGAAAAGTACTCCTGCACCTTTCTTAATTGGCTTCCAACGACCAAATGTTGTGCATTTCTCAGATGAAACAGAGAAGAAATATTGAAATGGATTGGTTGTGTGTCAAGCAATTTATTTTCAGCCACTATTTTACCTGAAGATCCTAGACAAAAATTAGCTATTATGTAATAATTTCTGCCTAGAATTCTATACACTATATGAACAGTGTTCAGAATAAAGCCGTTATCATTATTATTATTATTTTAAAAGCATGAACCACATGACACTGTTTCCAATGTTAGCCTGTAAGAATTTGATTGGTTTCAAGCTAGACTTAAACATGAATGGAAAACACTTGGAGAATCATTAGATTCGAGCTCGAATGAATTCAGTGGTAACACTTCGAGATGAACATAATGTTATTTGTTTGGTTCAGGCTGTTAGTAGTGAAATCGGTAATGTGTGTCTCATCCTACGTGCATTGATGGCATAGCCGTAGAATGCTCGTCAACCACACAGGTGGTCCGAGGTTCGATCCCCGGCCAGTTCACTCCTAAACCTGGCTAAGCCAGTAATAAGACTGGTAAAGAGAACAGGTTGGGCATGAGGCTAGCAACACCATCCCCTAAAAATAAATACCACTGCTACAGAAACTTCAAGCCTCTAGCTTGAAGTCCTATGTTCCACTGGGAACGTAAAGGAATAAAAATAAAAAGCAGATGAAGAATTACAAACTCGGACGAAATCAGCTTTCCAGTGTTTCCTGGTTCTCAGTGATTCCCTGACTAAATTCAGTCTGTGATTAAATGAAATTGTATTTCATTGGCTTAATCTGTTGATTGAAAATCCCGTGGGCTTTAATCTGCATTCAGTATAGACTTGTTGATGTGAATTTCTTTCAAGCCATTAAACTCGTTTCAGTGATCCGATTTTCGTAGCCTTCTTGGAATAAGTAGATCTTTCACGTATCATTCAGCTGAAAATTTAGCAGTTTCCAGGTTGATTTGGCAAGTTGTTCGACAGGAAGTCTTCATGAACGATAGTACTTATAAGTACCATGAATGCAACTGTATAAGTATTCATTCTATTTTAAAGAATATCCACCGTCGAAACAAACTGACATCTAGCCTACAATGTCAGTCCCTGTATTAAATAGTACTGCTTAAATGATGGACAGCTTGTCTAATGTGCTGTTTAGTATGGATTGACATAAAGAAATCTGACTCTCCGGAAGCCATCATCACTGTCACAGACAACATGAATAAGTAAGCTGAAAATATAACTTTAAGATAACTAATAATCTCAAGGTAGATTTAGTCACACACACTGACATCAGTTACGGAACCCATAGTTGTTTTGACCTAGTCTGGGACTCTTCAGCACTGACCTAATTGTTATTATATTGTTATTATACCCTTTGGTTCCGAGTGGGACATGGGGCTTCAACAACATATCTCCACTTTGTTATAGTTTCTGATTTCCTCTTTGGGCCCACGATTACCCATAATCTCTCATTTCCTCCTCCCATGATACCCTCCACGTCACTGTTGCACCTACGACTCACTCGTCGCTTCCCACTGGGATTCTACTCGAGCAGTGACCCAGTGTGAGATATCATTCAACGACCCCTTCAGCATATGCCCAACCCTTCCGTCTCCATTCGTTGAGAAATCGTCTCTTGTTTGGTTCGTTGCCATAGTTTCTTGTTACTAATTATTTCTGGCCAGCCGTTTGATTTTCCTTATGAAACCAGTGAAGGCAACTGTTGATAAAAGTCTGTAACCGGTTAGAAATGCTTTTCGTATTGCGCTGATCAATTTTCTGACCCGCAAAGAAGAACTGACTGACTGACTTCGCATTTGTGTTGAAAATCCGAATCTTGTTCTTTACGTTGGCTAAGCGCAGAAGAGTTCCATACTGGTTTCAGGTTGATGAAGGCGTATCTTGTTTTTCCAATTCTGGCTGGCTTTGATACATTCATCCGTGCAGTTGAAACAATGCTTCCTGGCTGGATAAGTGAAGGAAGTAACCTTTGTCAAATCTCTTCCGTTGATGGTGACTGGGCACTGACCTTACGAAGGACCCAATCTAAGGTCTACTTTGTAACTAGTCACACTAATGTAAACCTAATAATTAAGGAGGGGGAACTCAAAACTTTTAAGAAGATTAGGAGGAAATATCATCAAAATTTACATTGTTTAACATAATGAAGAAGTAGAAAGGCTAAAGAGTCGATAAATTTCTTAAGAGGATAGTTCTCTATCTGCATACAAAAGCAGTTGGTCTATACTCTGCTCTTCTACCTACATTGTGATTAACTTTTATTGAGAAAAGTACTGATCAAAGTGACGATCTTCAATTAAACTGACAAATTACATTGATTTCACTGAAGTACTTGTACTAAATTCGGGTAAATTTCAGATATTTAAAAATCTAAATACTTCACTTTCATTAACGAATATTCATAGAATTCACATATTCCCTAATGAGCGTAAGAGTGTCTCTGCGAAGAAAGAGCCATCACAGTACACACTGATAGATATTTCGAAGTAGTTATGACATTTTTCAGTGTTAGTGAACATTGAATGATCAACATATGGTTTGTTTATTAGAAATGATTACCATTTGGCGGGAAACAACAGTGGCGGCCGTTTTACCTAATCGTATGCTGGTTAGCAGAAGATTGGATAAAAACAATCAGAAGTATTATAGTGCTTTGTATTGACATTTATTCATAGACTTTATGCTTTCTAACTCTGTTATTCTGCTTCAATGTCGTTGAAGAAATAAGCAGTCATCGTATTGCCAGTCCGTTTTCTTATATTATTGCATCGGTTATCGCATATAGTATTCTGATGCACAGATTAGTCTTTTGAAATCAGCTCTGGCTTCAGGTTCTTTTCCGATTTGAACATTTGACAGTGTCATTTCAAAATTAACACGGAGCGAAATAGATATTTGGTGAATTCACTCAATATTCAATGAACCGATCTATCTTTAAATATTGTTTCACGTATATCTATCTATTTCGTGACCACAAAATATCTTTTTCAAATAATATCCTCTGTTTGAGTAGTAAAAGAACTGCCTCATTTGATTAATGGAAACTGTTGGCTTATATTTGATGAGTATCTTTATTATCCAGAAATAAGCAGGAAGAGAGGGAGGCAGGGATAGAAGACCATATTTAATTAAATGGAACTGTCTGTAGTGAATTTAAACCGATTCCCGTTTTATTATCAAATCCACAACCGATTTGGTGACTGAACTACTTAAATCCAAAATTAGTAGTATTCAACTGATAAATGAAAATTGTACATGGAATCAGTTGTATAGGATAACTGTGAAATCTGAATAACACATAAGGTGCTGTATATTATTTAGTTTCAAATAATCACACCATAAGAAAATAGCATTAATAAATTCATGATCCCATAGATTTGGAATATTTAGTCATAATTCTACTTACTGCATAAATCAATTTATTGATCAATTATTTAGTCATAATAAAAAACTACTTGCTATTCGATTAAGTTAGTTTGAATTTCTCACAGTGGAGTCCAGCATGCACATTTCGTCCTATGTGGACTCGTTAGCTGATTGTATCTTCATCTTCAGTGAGTGACGACGTTCTCACTGAAACTAGAATACACCGCAGTGGTATAGTGTATTTGAGATGATGTGTGTTTGTTTTTTAGTCATCGTGGGGATAATATCTCTCACTGTGGGTGCAGGCACATCCAGACGATGAGTCCCTTTACAGGATGAAATGTGCATGATAGGCTACAGCAATAGTCACAATACGTTAAGTTAAAGCCAAAATTAGTATTCAGTAATATGGACACCTAATGTACCTCTAAAATCGAAGAAATTTAAACATTTTATGTTTGAATATGTGATTGGGAAAATATATGGGTAAGAAGGCTAAACATGCTGTCAAACTGCTCGAATTTAGCTAAATGTATTGGACTTCCAGACGTAGAATTAATTAAATGAAATCGTTCTAATGAGTGTACAGAAATTAACATGATTTACAGGTATGTGTC